GGTGTCTGTGCCAGAGCCAGGGAAGGTGACCACACCCCGGTCAGTGATTCCCAGGCCGGCCCACGGTTGGAAAACCCACAGCACTGCGAGCGTGTCACTCGGGTGCTGCTGTGACAGCAGGCAAGGCTCAGGTGGACACTCTCCATCCCCACGGGCTGCGTCCATTGCTGGTCTCTGTGGGCTGGCAGGCCGGTGGCCAGGGGCAGCCCTGCCCCGCGCCTCAGTCGTCCAGGTGCTGCTCCTCCCAGGTGGACGTGGGGATGGCGCTGTAAGGGTCCATGATGACCTTGGCGCAGCGGATGATCATGACGACCAGGAAGAGGCAGAGGAAGACGAAGCAGGCCAAGGTCAGCCCTTTGTCCACGTCCACGTAGACGGGCTCGGGCGTGGGCTCCTCCATCTCGCGATGGCGGTGGCTGCGGGCTCCCCGTCCGGCTCAGGGTTGACCGGTACCATCTTCCACCCCTGCAGAGAGCCGAGCGGAGGGCAGGGGAAGGGCACTGATTACCCCCCCACACTCGCCCCCTGCAGAGCCATCGTCATCGTCACCAGCCCTAGATTCTCAGAGCACTATCACGGGGCTGATTGTTTGGTCCTCACAACAGCCCCGGAGGCGAGTCAGCCAGGCACCGGTGTGCCCATTCTGTAAGTGCGGTAACTGAGGCCCGGGAAGGGGACGGCTCATCCAAGGTCCCGCATCCCACACTTTGGGTCTCTGCGTGCCTCTCCCTCTGCAGGCAGAAGCGGTCGGGTCCCTCTCCCCCGCCTCCGGAGCTTCAGGCCAGTGGGCCTGGCTCGTCCATAAGCCCAGAGCACCATGCTTTCCCCCACCCAGACCTTGTCTCCCTCCTCACTCGTTCCCAGTGGGCACTGACCTGTTGGTCGGAGTGGTCACCGCTTCATCAGGGCCACTGAGTGGGCTGGCCCCCTAGGCCAGGCTGCTGCACGAGGGAGGGCGAGTGGCTGGACATCGCAGCTGGGAGCCAGTGAGAGCAGCAGCCTTTGCTCAGGGCAGGTCCCTGCGTGGCTGAAACGGCAGGACAGACGAAGGCCGGTCACTTCCCAGGGGGCCCAGGCCACGACGTCACCTGGGCCGGTGGGAGGGCCGGCCTGCGCACCTCCCCACTGGCCTCGTGTTGGGGGCTGCTGCGCTTCATTCTGGTGCTTTCCTCCCCTCTTTTCAAAATGATAACATTTAAAAAAATAACGTCAAACACGCGTAACATAAGATCTACCTTAACCGTTTTAAGTGTGCAGGTCAGTGGCATTAAGTGCATTTGTACTGTCGTGCAGTCATCACCACCGTCACCTCTGGGACTCCGTTCATCTCGCAGAACTAAAACTGTCCCCTTAAACGACAACGCCCCCCGCTCCCCCGTCCCCAGGCCCTGGCAACCACCGCTCTGCCTCTGTCTCTGTGAATTAGGCTACTCTAAGTACCTCGTGTAAGTGTAATCATACAGTATTTCTCTTTGGCGGCTGGCTCATTTTATTTGGCATAAACACCCGTAAGGTTCCTACGTGTTGTAACACGTGTCGGAGTTTTCTCCTTTGTTAAGGCTGAATAGTATTCCGCCCTGTGGGTGGACCACATTTTGCTTATCCGTTCACCTGCGGACGGACACTTGTGTCACTTCCATCTTTTGGGTCTTGCGGAGAGGGCTGCTGTGAACATGCGCGTGCAGGTGTCTCTTTGAGACCCTGTTTCGAGTCTCTTGGGTATATATCTAGACGTGGAATTGCTGGATCCTGTGGTAATTCTCTAATTTTTTGAAGATGAAATTTGACATTTTTGCATAAATAACGCTCGTACGTGGTTCAAACTTTTCAAAGCACCAAAGGAAGAGTGGAAAGGAGTTTCGTAGCTGCCTCCCCCGAGATCCGGCTCGTCCCCGGAGAGGCAGCTGCTGCTGCGAGGTCCTCGCACGGCCCTCTCCTGCGTCCCGTCTATTCAGATTTTCCTGTCGGCTCCACTCTTCAGTTGTGCGATTCCCATTCGATCCTTTGACGAAATTTTCCTGGCTCTCCAGCGGGGTGTCCCGCCTCGTCACCTCCTTTCTTCAGCATCTTAATCACAATATTTTGAAGGCCCCGTTTGAGCATTCCGGGGCGCGGGTCATGTACGCGTCCGCTGCTTCTGTTTATCTTTCCTTTCGGTTCACCTTCTTGAGATGGCTGACGACAGGCTCATCGGGATACGGAGCAGTTGCAGCGGTCTCGGATGACGTCATCCTTCGGTGGAGAGGGCTCCCACGCCGCTGGAGTTCAGGCGATCGATCATCTTAAGGTGGCGTGGAGCTGGGGCCACGCGACGCGAGGCCCCCTCGTTAGCCGGGCCGGCCCTGCGTCTGGTCTGACAGCACTTCGGTGCCGGTCCCCTCCAGGTTCCGAGGTGAGAACCCGGGGTGTTCACTGGCGTTGTTTCTCCCTGGCGTGCCTTGAATTCTAGTTTTGTTCCTCGGTGCCTTCAGACAAATGAAACGGCGTGGGGTGAACCGTTCGGGGTTGTTCAGCAGCCGAGGTTGCATTCTGTGCTGTAGGATGCAGGTGCAGGAAACTAGGAACGCTGGTCGTTGGCTAAAAGGCTCTGGTGATCACAAGGAAGGCCAGGCCTGGGGACATGCGCACAGGGGTTTGGTCCAACTTGTGCTACTCTCGGCTCTGGATTTTTGCAAGATGTTCACTGGAGCGTTGTTGAACCGTGAAAAACTGGGAATGAACTGTCAATCATGCATCGGTTAAAACAGAGATGGCATATCTCTGTCATGGAGTACTCCGAGGCCCTTTAAAAGACACACACACACACACACATACAAGGTCTAGGAAATTTTATTAACTGAAAGAATAAGTTGAAGAATAATACTCCAAATATGACATGATGTCCATTAAGTGAAACGAAACTGTAAATTTTAATATTGCACATATGCAAATGTTGGGGTGGGCGATTGGTGCCCTGCTCACTGCCAGGTCAAGACCTGCCCCTGCTTTCACTGAGACATTTAAGATGTAGAGAAGCACAAACAATAATGTGACCAGCGCCGGCACTTCCAGAGTGCAGAATTTGCAACTGTTACCTGATCAGATTTGCTCCGTCCTTCCTGGTCGGATTCACGAGTCCGGCCTGCTGTAGCTTCCCCCGCAGGACCGTTTTCCCGCCCTGTCTGGCGCTCAGACCACCTGGACTGGGGCCTGCATTTTTCAGCCTGGGCACCCACTGTCTTGGGTTCCTTGGACCCGACTTTACAAACCCTGGCCTAGTCCCCTCCCTCCATTTCGTAGACGACGACGCCAGAATGTAGGGGAAGACGGGTCTCCCCAGAGTCCCAGAGCAATGGCACAGCTGAACCGGAGCGGACCCTCGTTTCTAGCCCCAGCCAGGCCCGTACGCTGGGGCTAGCGGCACTCGTCATTAGTGGCCCTCGGGAAGGGGGAGCGGGCTAGGCTTGTTGCAGCAGGACCCAGTCTGGCCTCTCAAACCCTGACTATCATGTGTCAGGTCCCGGGTGTGCCTTAAGTTAGCTTGGGGCGCCCCATGCAGATGGTGGCCTGGTGACTCGCCTGTCTTGTCTGGGGCGAGGACAGGGTCCTATCATCTGGAGGCGTACCCCACAGGAAGATTATCAGTTCTTTCCAGATCCTTCCGTCCGGGGCGTATGCCAAGAATGGGAGCTCGGAGACCAGATCTGCTCCC